TAGGGTCACAGACCAAACGCCAAAGTCATATCGCCCCATAAGCCTATCCTACTTCCTACTTAAAACTCTAGAAAGATTGATAGATAGGTGTATCAGGGACGAACTACTAAAAATAAATCCGCTTCATCCCAACCAATATGCAAACCAGCCAGGAAAGTCAACTGACCTAGCGCTGGACGATCTAAACAGGCTGCTTTCAAAGTCAATAGATGACAAAGAAATCGCAATAGCTACTTTCTTAAATATCAAAGGAACTTTCAACAATGCCTCAACCAGGTCAATAACCAAGGCTATAGAAGAAAGAAACGTCTTAGTTGCAATATGTCAATGGATTACTGCCTATCTAGAGAACAGGATTATTTTATCTACTCTAGGAAAGGCAATCATACAGGCAGAAGTAACATGGGGCTGCCCACAAGGAGGAATATTTTCTCCAATGCTGTTCTTGTGAACGACTTACTCAAAACATTGTGCAAAGAAGGCTACCAGTGCCTAGGATATGTAGACAACCTATCAATTATCGTCATGGGGCGATTTGCAGGCACAGTCTCGAAGCGATCTTAAACAGCTCTAAAGATAGTGAATAACTGGTGCAAAAAGAAAGAATTGTCCATTAACGCACAAAAAACAACAGTAGTACCATTTACAAAAAAACGGATACTTACAGGACCATGACCACTAGTACTAAACAATATAGTTATCCCATTCGTCGCAGAAGCCAAATACCTTGGAGTCATAATTGACCAAAGTCTGACGTGGAATCAACATCTAAAAAAACTCACAAAGCTACAATAGCTCTCGTAAGCTATAGAAGAATACCTATGTGGGAAAAACTGGGGTCTAAACCCCAAAATGACCATATAGTTATACACACGCCGAACATACGTGGCTATATCAGCAAGTAAAAGGGAATAATATTCTAGCTAGGCCTACTGATAGAGCCTTAACCACATACAAATTTGAAAGAAATTTTCAAATTCAAATACCAGCCCGTGAATCCTGGAAACAGGGACCTCCAGTACAGGCTGAATTCGTCTGGTACACAGACGATTCAAAAACTAAAGAAGGAGCCGGTGCTGGAATCTATGGACCCAAGTCGAAAACAACGATTTTTCTGAGTTTAGGAAAATATGCAACAGTGTTCCAGGCTGAACTAATAGCCATACAATACTATGCAAGAGAAATATTAAATCAGCAAGTATCAGGCAAAACTATTGTCAAGCAGCTCTAGAGGCAATTCTCTCACCAGAAATCAAATCACGACTGTTGAAAGACTGTCCAGAAGACCTGGCCATGAGGGATATTAGAACAACGAAAAGGTCGACAAATTAGCACGAGAAGGCTCAGATAAAGCCATGACAGGCCCCGAACCCTTCTGTGGAGTTGCTAAGGCATTGTGCAGGGCATCAATTTAACAATGGATGTAAAAAGAGTCTCACGAATGTTTGAACAACTATCCAAGACTGAGACAGGCCAAACAGTTCATCAAGGAACCATCGGCCAAGTTCACAAAAGACCTCTACTGGATCAAAAACGTCAAATCCTTAGGATAACAGTAGACCTTGTTACTGGAAACTGTCGCCTCAAAATGTACATGAGTGTTATCAATCCAGCAAAAGAAGCAACCTTGTGAAGGTTCTGTGAAGAAAAAGAGGAAACATCATTCCACGTCCTGTGCCAATGTAAAGGTCTGGCTGGAATGAGGTTTCTAACATTGGGCAAAGAGAAGCCAAATGCATGCAACTACGTGCGGGAGCCACTGTCAAAGCTACTTAGTCTAATAAAAAAGCCCAGGCTAGACGACATACTCTAAAACAAACGGAGTTCCACAATAGATCTGAAAAGGTCGCGGTGGACAAGGACAAATAACGTTCAACTAATCTAATCTCGTATGCTGGTTTGATATTAAATGCAGTTGGTCTTGTAAAGATGGTACTAGGCACCTTTTAAACATGATAAAAGTGATAGATCCTGTAATAAAGAGGAATGGATAGATGTTTTGCCCATACAAAAAAAAATATTTTAATTATTAATGAATTTTAATCAGATGACAGAAAATTGGTTTGAGAGTTAAGGGATTTAAAATATAAATGTAAATCGATAAGAACAAAGGGACGTTAGAATATTTCAAGTGAGTGAACTAAATTTTGATTGTAGACTTAATTGATCGGTGGAATGTCAGTACAAGCGAACCCCCTTTGATAATGGGAATATTAGACAAAGATTTAACTAATATGATTTCTGTGATTCTGAATGAAATACACCTAATAAAATGTCCTTGTCATTCGCTGGGAAGGTTAAAAGATGTATAAAATTAATAACGGAAGCTTCTATAGCAGTTTTTGGCCCTAAAGCGTCGGATGATATCCTAAAAGATCGTACTAAATCGAGAGAAATTTTGTCGCAATTTAAACCAAAATAAAAATTTTAAGTTTGAGACCAAAAAAAATAAATTTTTGTAGAGGAGGCAGGGTTAGGGTGGAACTCGACATTCAACGGCACCTCCACGGATGAGTTCTGGTTGCAGTTTTTTGGAGGTAATTTCGGAAGCCAAATAAATTATCGTAGGACACTCAAATTTTGTATGTTGCTAAGTATCTCAAAAGACACCTACTGCTTATGCAGACTTTTTAATTTCTACATTATGTTTTATATCTATTTTCTCTCTGCTCTAATGTATAAAGAAATTTTAAAGACCTATTTTTTAGTTCCAAAATCTAACATCTCCATTATTAATCTGGAAATACTTTCCTTTATTCTTATTATTCAAAAAATCTCAATCATTGCGATTTTTTGTTTAATTATAAGAACTATAATTTTTAGATGCAAATCAATACCTGACGGCTTTAGAAGATTTTCAGGGTGAGTGTAAAGAAAAGCTAAAGCTTTAATATAATTTAAAGTCAGTAAAAGAAGATTACATATCCTTCTAAATTTATTTTTATCTAAACAGCGTTGTAACGTTGGCCGGGTCATATAAACTGGCAACGCTGATATTATTTGTTTCCTTCTCGCCCTAACACTAATTCTCTGTAGTTTTCACATGCAATTGTGCAAGGGTATTGGAAAGCCTTCGATAGTCGACACTGTATACATGGTGTCATATTAGGAATGGGTCATTAATTCCAAATGAGACTGTTTAACAAAACATGTTTAGGTAAAATGTAAAAAAAGATTGGTAAAATTGAATAATTATTAATGAGTATATAACTAAATTCGTCAAACTTTTTAATGTAATTTTATGTAATTTTATATAATTTTATATAATTTTATATAATTTTATATAATTTTATATAATTTTATATAATTTTATATAATTTTATATAATTTTATATAATTTTATATAATTTTATATAATTTTATATAATTTTATATAATTTTATATAATTTTATATAATTTTATATAATTTTATATAATTTTATATAATTTTATATAATTTTATATAATTTTATATAATTTTATATAATTTTATATAATTTTATATAATTTTATATAATTTTATATAATTTTATATAATTTTATATAATTTTATATAATTTTATATAATTTTATATAATTTTATACAATTTTATATAATTTTATATAATTTTATATAATTTTATATAATTTTATATAATTTTATATAATTTTATATAATTTTATATAATTTTATATAATTTTATTTAATTTTATATAATTTTATATAATTTTATATAATTTTATATAATTTTATATAATTTTATATAATTTTATGTAATTTTATGTAATTTTATGTAATTTTATGTAATTTTATGTAATTTTATGTAATTTTATGTAATTTTATGTAATTTTATGTAATTTTATGTAATTTTATGTAATTTTATGTAATTTTATGTAATTTTATGTAATTTTATGTAATTTTATGTAATTTTATGTAATTTTATGTAATTTTATGTAATTTTATGTAATTTTATGTAATTTTATGTAATTTTATGTAATTTTATGTAATTTTATGTAATTTTATGTAATTTTATGTAATTTTATGTAATTTTATGTAATTTTATGTAATTTTATGTAATTTTATGTAATTTTATGTAATTTTATGTAATTTTATGTAATTTTATGTAATTTTATGTAATTTTATGTAATTTTATGTAATTTTATGTAATTTTATGTAATTTTATGTAATTTTATGTAATTTTATGTAATTTTATGTAATTTTATGTAATTTTATGTAATTTTATGTAATTTTATGTAATTTTATGTAATTTTATGTAATTTTATGTAATTTTATGTAATTTTATGTAATTTTATGTAATTTTATGTAATTTAATGTAATTTTATGTAATTTTATGTAATTTTATGTAATTTTATGTAATTTTATGTAATTTTATGTAATTTTATGTAATTTTATGACATTTTATGACATTTTATGACATTTTATGACATTTTATGACATATTATATCATTTTATGTAATTTTAAGTCAATTTTAGGTCAATTTTAGGTCATTTAAGGTAATATGTCATGTTGTCATTTTATGTAATTCATGTCATTTTACGCCATTTTATGTAATTTTACGTAATTTTACGTAATTTTACGTAATTTTACGCAATTTTTTATAATTTTACATCATTTTACCTCATTTTACTTCATTTTACATCATTTTACATTATTTTACATTATTTTACATTATTTTACATCATTTTACGTCATTTTACATCATTTTACGTTACTATACGTTACTATACGTCACTCTACGTCATTTTATGTCATTTTACGTCATTTTATGTCATTTTACGTCATTTTACGTCATTTTACGTCATTTTACGTCATTTTACAACATTTAATGTCATTTTATGTCTTTTTATATCATTTTTCCTTTTTTTTTATTTTTAAATATTTGACTTTAATCTCTAAAATCAATATTAGAGAAAACTCTTTCAATAATAAAAAAATATTGTTATTACTCTAAGAATAACATTTCTCGATATTTTTCATTAAAATTTACAAATATTTTTATATTGCAATCATTTTTTCAGTGTATAACAAGGCAAATGAGGAAAACTCTGTATCTCAAGGCTAATTTATCTTGACAGTGTACCACACAATTGGGCCAACTGTACTACCGAATCCATTAGAATCAAAATCTACCCAAATAACACCAGAGGAACTACAAAATCAGGTAGAGCATTGGGGGCTGCTTTAGATTTTGCTGTTACAATTGTCGGTGCTGTTTTAAAATTGTCTTTGCGCTCATTATGGAATCATAAATACATATATTTATTTTTTACTATATGCGTTTCTTTTTCAATTTACTACCGAAATATAAATTGACCTATATATAAATAAACCCAGCTTACACGAATGAGTCCATAACATATTTGGTTGTATACTCCAAAATATAAGAAGTTTTACTAATAATAATATTATAAATAGGAAATATATCAAAAATACCACACTTTTATTATTCCAAATTAATTAAGTATCTTGTTTTCATGGTATTTGGTAACTTCCAAATTTATACTATGTTTAACAAATCAACTACTTTCTAAATTTTGTTTTTGTTTACCGATCAAATTATTAAAACTAGAAAATTTACTTAAATGTTAAGTTCAACGTTCTACAAAGACTCGAATATAGAATAATAGTTCTAAAAAGCCATAAGAAAAAGTTCAAATTGGCTCAATTTAAAAAAAATATATGATAGTTCTATTTATAACTCTTATTAGAATATTTAAAAAATTTAGAAATATGTAATGATCTGAAATGTTTTCTTAAAACAATAACAGCAACGACAACGTTACAATAAAATCTAAAACCAATCCCCAAAATTTGTTTGGTATTAATTCTAATTTTTGTCGGTTTCAGATCGTCTCTCCTGGTTAAATACCGAGGAAAGAATGGAAATTCATAAAACTAAAACGTGACAACTATGGGAAAATGGATTCTTTAATTCGAACACAAGAGAAATACAATAATAATAAAAGTTTTGTAAATAAATGTCCATTGTAATTTCAACTGTTAAAGTTTTTTATTTGAAATGTCTGTACGCTAGCAGTGTTATAGCACAAATTCATTAGGGTAAAATATGTGGATCTAGCCCAGGGCCGCTTTTACCTAACCTGGGGCCCTAGGCGCCAGACAATTTTGAGGTCCCTTGTTAGGCATCTATTTTATAATATTATTACTAAATAAACTATAGAGTTACCAGGGTGTTTCGTGATATATTTTAAATTTCAGTCACAACCAAGGGAAAAAATACAGAAATTTTATATATAATATATACATTCTATTTAAATCTAATAATTATTAAAACGCAAAACATTGCGTTATGCAAATTAACACCATAATCTGTCAAAAAAAATAATTCCTGTCGCGAACGCATGATATTTATTTTTTCATTATTAAATTAAAAATCAATAGCAACTATTCACCAATACGGCAATTGTTACCGTTACCGCATCTTGTGATAATTTTATATTAGATTCTACTTTCTATTCTGACATTCTGCAAGCAAAGCAAATAGGTACCTATTTTATTTATGCAATCTTATGCACCACATACTTTGTTAGGAATGTTAAGTATTAATCTAGAGAATAATAATACAAACTCTACTCCAACTTACCTTTACGCCTAAAGTACTTTCAGAAAACACGCTCCGATCAAATAGAGTGTGATCACTTTAGTCTTGGTTCATTCAAGAACAGTCAAACGTTTAATTTGGACATTTAGCTGCTCTCGTTCAGAAAGTTTAGTCAAATTAGTCTATAGTGCACTCTTCTTTACTCAGTTTAGACTAGGTTAATTTGAGTAAATTTGACAGAACGTAGGGTTCTTTTGCAAAAGTTGTTATTTCATATTATTTTTGTGCGTCATGAACGTGTTTGTACATGAAATTCTATAAAGTTAAGTTTGTTTTAAAATAAATATTCTAAAATTTCTTGTCTTATTGACTTTATAGACCATTCATTATAAACTCGATTGTAAATAGGTACATACTGAAATAAAAAGAAAAACAGCTAATAATAATAAAACTAAATGATTAAAAAGTAAAACTACATGAGACACGAGTAACAACGGGAAGCGAGAAACATCGAACATTATAAAATGTATGTAAACAAACAACTGTAAAAAGCTTTAATTTTTAAATTCGTTGACGTTTACTTTCGTTGCCGTTCAGAAATTTTGGTCCAATGAGAATCATTCTAGAGCAGTGGTTCTCAAACTTTTTTGGTGACGGAACCTTTTTAAAAAGCAAAATATTTGACTGAGCCCTAAACACATTTCGGAAAAAAACGTCCTCCTTGCCAGGTCCCTTCCGTTGCCAGGTCCCTTCCGTTTCTTTGCGCAGCCCATACAACAAAATAATCAAAATCATATACTCCTTCCTCTTCTAGACTTCTAAGAAAAAGGTCCTCAAACCTAAAATACCAAAATCATATACTCCTTCCTCTACCTGACTTCTAAAAAAAAGGTCCCCCAGCCTAAAATACCAAAATCATGTACTTCTTTCTCTTCCTGACATCAAAAAAAAGATCCTCTAACCCAAAATACCAAACTCGTATACTCCTAATAAAAACAAAACAATTAGGTCCTCAAGCAAAGTCCCGTTGTAGCGATAGATACTGCTTATTTTCTTCGCGGAGCCCTCAGAAAGGCTTTGTGGAGCTCCAGGGCTCCGCAGACCACACTTTGAGTAACGCTGCTCTAGAGTAACCTGGACAACTGATCTGAAAATTAGTCTATTCCCGAGTAAAATCATCTGAACGTGCTACTAGTCAGACTCCTCATTATCGATTATAATAGATAGGCTGATTCAATAATTATCACGATCAAAAACAACGATCATGTTCAATGGCTCAGGTACACTCAGGGATCCCAGATCCCACGATTCAGTACTGAGTCTTACGATAATGCTCCTTATTCTCACGATATTTTTAAATTAGCTGCTTGCAGTAACGAACCATGTTTTTATGTAAAAACTTTAATTTTTAATTACTCATATAATAACTGGAACGCTTTGACTGAAACATAGCGGACGACTGACACTTGACAGTCTCAGCGATGGTTCCCGACTCTTGTTTGTATTTGCAGGCCACAATTCCCTAACCACCTATTCCTTAGAAATGTATTATTTTTTCTTTATTAGATAAGTTTATATAAAAATTTAAAATAAGTATTTTGAGACATTTAGATGGTTCTGGAAAAACAAAAATCCTCTCTTCCTCCCAAAAAATATGTAAGCGTTTTTGATTAAAACCTATCTGTCTGAAAGGAGAGCCAAAATGACAGAAATTTAGTCAAAAGTCTGCCATTCCTTGCTCTCGCTCAGACAATACATATTAATGCTGTATATTTTACCAAATTGCCCATGCGTTGTACAATCTCAGTACCTCTGGGATCTCCGGTTACAATATTTACACTATTACGAAGCGCTGCGCTGATTCAGCTTTTCTTGCTCTGTTACCAGATTGAAGCTCTGCTGGCCTAATTTAATATTTTTATGTTTAGGCATTTTATGAAGCCCCTTAAATATGAGGCCCTAGGGTAGCGCCTAGTGCGCTACCACCAGGCCCTGACCTAGTCCAATTTACCTGATTCGACTTACAAATGTATCTTTATTAGCAACTGAAAACAATCTTTTCCTACGACCACTATCACAAATATCACACTATATAGTTCTATGGAAAGTGCTCTATATTACACGCATATGAATAAGAATTTACTTTCCACCCGTGCGCGAATATGCTACTTTCCGCATGAGCTGTCACAAAATGTCAAATGCATCATTTCTATTCTGATCTATGTAATGTCCATATTAATACGATTATTATTGATTATTTTTTTAAATACATTTTAATTATTATAATAATAACCTGGTTTTACATTTTTTGATGAAATTATTTTGTGGTCGTTGTAACCTTCCAAATCGGTTAAAACTACTAAATTAATGAAAAATGAAAAGACAAGCAATTACGCATACCCGGTCACATGTGATAATTTTTCAGGATACTCGCGGCTTAGCTTCAGTGGAGACGGGTGTGGTCCACAAAAAATAATATGAATGTTAATGTAGGCGCCAGATAAATTTACACAAGTATCTAAGAGGTCCTTATCGACCATAACTTACCAAAAGGTCAATAACTTAAAATACACCAACTCGAGTACGTAAATGAAACTATTATACTTAATACCAGCTATTTATTTAAGAGCTATTAAACATGTTTAAAAAAAATTAACATATATCTAGGACTAAGTCCAAGGCAACGACTGAAATTCGTAATACCGAACCTAAATAAAAAAAAGAAACAAACCTATAAATTCATCTAAATTCCATGTGTGGATTGAGCCAAAATATATTAACAGTAGCGGTAGAAATTAAGAAATAGCAAGTAAATCAAGTATGATTATTATACACTATACCTAATAATAGCAATAATGCAATAGTAACAAAGCCACAAATAACTAATGGTTATTTAGCTGGTCTTAAGGCGAAAAGAAAAGAAAAGGAACCGATAATAAAGAAAAATAATAACGATTCTACACCGCTTGAGCTCAGGCGCATGTGCGTTAGATCCTAAAAGGCAAAATTTTTGTTTAATGATTTCGCACCTTAGAGACCGCTAACAAGTATCATTAAAAGCTAGCCATAAGCAGAAATCGTAACAATAGGCAAAAAAAGCTGTACAAGCAATGACATAAAAAAAATATTAATAAAAGAAAGAAAAAAAATTAATAAATATCTTGCGTGTATCCAAAACGAAACCAGCATCAAGTGGAGGCTGATCCAGAACTCAGCGTCGCTATGACAGGATCAGGTTTCTGTTGTGTCCTACTTTGAAGACGACGTCCCTGGAGCGGATGCGCTGAACCGATGACGGATGGTGATCTCAGTTCAAGAATAATCCAGGAATAAATCAGGAATAAACCAGTATTAAACAATAAAACGAACCATAAAATACTCGTAAACCATAAAACCCTAAAATATACATATGAATTAGAAACCAAAAGTTTCTGCTTAATAAACGAACTTCTTGCAATAAATATGAATTAAAAAAAAAGAAATGCAGTTTTTTTTTAACCCTGTAATAAATAATTTATTTTCATATATTTAATATATTTAATATATTTAAACTTACTCAACAGATCAAAGTAAGCGTATATATAAATAAAATATAAACATACTAATACCTTAAAAAAAATAACAAGCGTTCCTTGTCTACAGCGAAAAACTAAACCATTCTCGCTAATCAAATAGATCATTAAAAATAATCACAAGAAACCAAGAAATGTTTTAAATCTGGCAACATCGCAAATTCGACAAAATTTTATATCGCATAAAAAAAACTAAAACTACATGCCAAACATTTTAAAAAACACTGTATAAATATAAAAAAAAATACACGTTACTTACCCTGGCCAAGGGGTTTCCTTATTCAAATGGCTTCAGCGGCAAATTTGTTGATATCACCTCTTTTTATTATTTAGCGGTTAAAGGCCTAATTCTATCACTAAAATAAAGAAAAAGCTTGGTAACTAATTGGACTTTGAGATGCAAGGTTTTAAGCAAATCACTATCAAAACGAGTCTCCAATTATTTAAACCACAAAAGAAATTATCTTATTTTTTTTTGCAGGAATAAAACAAAATTAATTTTACCGTTCATACTCTATATTATGAAAAGAACAATGAGCGGCTTAAAAATGAACATAGCTAAACAAAGTGTTACATACCTGATTAAGGGTGAAATATCTATCAGAAAGCTCCACGTGCAATGTAAAAAAAATCCTTCTTCAAACGAAGTAGTCCAGAAAATCTCTATCAACCAAATAACTCTCTCAAAAGTACTTGAGATTCTCCTACAATTGGTACTAGGAAAACTGAACCCCCTTCTCGGGATGGTAGCACTATTACCACGAAATTCCAGTAGCACCCTTACAATTAAACACACGAGGCAGCTTCTTTAAAAGACAGAACGAAAGTGACCAGGAAATCACAGTTTAGCCATATCGTTGTAT